CCTCCCCCTCCTTCCACAGCCTGCATGACGCTGCCGCCCAGGCTGAGAGCTGCCGCTGAAACAAGTTTGGGGAGGTCCTTGGCGGGCGGCCAGTTCTAGCCGCCTGCAAAGGACTTCCCTACGTTTACTTTGAAAGAAATCTGCGCGGCAGTTAGAAACCTCTGCGCGGGGGTTTCTTGCCATGTGCGCGGCCGCGCAGCCGCGCACCTTAGAGGGAACAGTGCTCTTCTGGGACTCAATTCTCATGAAATTTGCCTTTTCTCTCAAGATATTTAACCTAGTAAGGAAGTTGTTGGGTGCAACTGGCTTCCTGTAAGCTTTTTAAATTTCCTACAATATTACTGTAGGTGAACAATAGGTTAAATATCACTGGGGCACAAAGCACACCAAACCTTTATATATGTGTGTATTTGTGTGTCTATTAAAGGTAGGAGGGAAACATTGTCTATAGAATTTACAGTTCATATAACCCAAAGTTGAAGTTCAATGCCACATTCAGCTTGCAGTTAAACTCTCAAAAGATCTACAGCATTGTATTATTGAGGGAGGGTGAAAAAGATATTCATCCCACTGACACTTATTTCTCTGGGCCTTTAAATTACTATTATATTACCTTTTTGCTTCAAAGAAAATGTGTCCTTCAAAAAGTTTATGCCTTTCCAGTGAATCATTTTGGAGATTTAAATCCAAGTGGTTTAGCACAGAAAGCTACAATCTTTACAAAGTTGCTCAATAAATGAAGAAGTTATTAGACAGTAAGGGGGGGGGACCTATTTTTGCCATAGTTTCAGCTAAGAGAATAATAGCTCTTCTGAACCTGAGGGATTTTTATTTTTATTTTAAAAGAAAAATCTTGAAAATCTCTATTATTCCCTTGTGACTATGCTAGGTTTTCCCTTATCCCCATTCTCTTTTCAAAGCCATGGTGATCATATTTTAAGACCCAATAATATTTCATAAATTCCAGGTGGCATTGTACATTGGTTTGTGTACAAATATGAAGTTTAGCTATTTAAATCCTCAGTTGGTTGCCAGAAATATGCTGCTTGAGATAAAGTTTTTTATTGCTTTCCTTGGTCTCATTGTATTTTAAATAGGCTACCTGAGTAGCCTATTGTATAGGTGATTGCCCCCCCCTCCTCCTAGTGCTTAGCATACTAATTATTTGGCCACCAGAAGTATCTATGGAGTGCTATAAAAGGTCAAGATGGTAACAACAACTGTGTGATTGAAGCCTTAAATGTCTTGCACTTTAGGCAGCCCATATCAACACCAGTGGACATTCCAGACTGCAACAAGGCTATGATTTGCAGAGTTGAATGTCCCTTATTGCATATTTACTATAGCTGCTAATATCTAAGTCTACTCTCTTTTTTACTTCTTTTTTTGAATTAGTGTAACATAGGGTTTTCCCAAAGCAGCTAGTGTAACATAGGGTTCCCCACCGAGCAGTGCAGTGGTCTAGAGGTGACATGCTTGCCTCCCACTAGGAAGATTGAGAATTTAATCCTAAACAGATGTCTCTCTATCAGGGCGCAAAGAGAAAATATTTGCTACAAACTCCATGCAGGCATCAGGCAAGGCATCCAACCAGCAAATGCTCAGCTCCATTCAGTTGCCATGGCTCCACCCCAAATTAAGGGATTAAAGAAAAAAAAGGCTTCCCCATAGTGGTCAATATTGATACCCAAAGGTCAATGGGATCATCCAAGGGGTCAATAAATGTCAGGTGGGATCAAAAGAGGGTCAGTTAATGTCTGGGGGATCAAGTGGTTGACAAATGATGTAATATTTATTGGAGTGAATATTTTTTTTTGGGGGGGGTCTCTATAGAGTTCCACTACAGGCTCTAGTCTTAAAGGGGAGGTAGTTAGCAGCAAGATAGTACTACCCAGGGTTGGATAGTCAGCCATTATGACAGCAGCCTTGAGTTGTCTCCTTGCTCCTTCAGCTATTCCTTGCTGACCTTGAAGCAGTCAAAAAGATGTTGAGACTCTACAAAGAGTGCAAAGAAGAGCAACAAATATGATTAGGAGACTGGAGGCTAAAACATAGGAAGAATGGTTGCAGGAACTGGATATGTCTGGTTTAATGAAAATAAGGAGTAGTGGAGACATGATAGCAGTTTCCAGATTCCAATTTCTCAGAGGCTGCCACAAAGAAGAGAGAGTCAAACTATTCTCCAAAGCACCTGAGGGCAGGACAAGAACCAATGGGTGGAAACTAATCAAGGAGAGAAGTAACTTAGAACTAAGGAGAAATTTCCTGACAGTTAGAACAATACTCAGTGGAACAACTTGCTGCCAGAAGTTGTGAATGCTCCAACACTAAGAAGATATTGTATAACCATTTGTCTGAAGTGGTGTAGGGTTTCCTGCTGAAGCAGGAGGTTGGACTAGAAGACCTCCAAGGTCCTTCCAACTCTGTTATTCTATGATCAAGTTGGAAATTACTGTGATTGTACTTTGCTTTCCTCCATTCCTCCATTCCCCCATTCTTTGAAATGTTCACCCCAGCTCCGGGATAATTAGCAAGAAGACAATTGACATTCATATTTGCATTCATTGGAAAAGAAAGGATAACAAGAGAGTAAGTAGGCACACAATGGAGAAGACACTTGACTTTGCATAATGTTTTCAGGGCTGCTAGGGACACCATTTTCCTTTCAAGGTGTATTGCAATGACCCCATTGTCACATGATCATGATTGCCAATGCTCTCTGTCAACTTCCCACAAGCAATGCAGAAGTCAGCTGGAAGTCAAAAGTTGCTCCTGCTCCACTGCTGTTTTGCCTACCTGTGGGTCATTCTGTTTACCTGTTTACGTAAGTAAATATTGACTTACTAAATTTTGCTTGCTACTACAATTATTTTTCCATTTAAGATATATACTCTTCTTAGATGATCATACAGTATTGGGGTGTGTGCTGTCCCAACAGTATATAGCCAATTAAGAATTAG